GGCCCTTAGGAGAATCGATTTATCGGAAGGGAGAATAAAACAAGAAACGGTGAAAGAAGGAGAGAAAAAAAATACAACTAAGGTAAAACTGCTGGAAATTCATCATACGGCCGGTAACTGAGAAACAGGTGGCCAGCAAGACTTCGAATTGGCACAACTCGGCTGGTACCGATTAGCAATTATTCAGCCGTTCTCAAATTGAAAGATACGCGTATGAATAACGTTAGAATGTCACCTAGCGTCGTCATTCAGAGACGAAATTTTATGTTAGAGTCTAATAAATCGCGTTTAACTTATTTATGTGCTGAGAAATGCAATTTTTTTGCTCGTCGACAAATCTCAATACCCGACTGACGGAAATAGGCGCGGTTAAGTCGGTGAAAAAAAAAAAAAAAATTTTCTCCGTAAAAACACGTGTTCAAAAAATGTTGTCAAATTTCGTTCTCGCACTTTGGCCGTCGTTCTAGATACGCTGAGGTTAGGTTAGTCTGGTGCAACGGTACTGGCATCAGCAAAGCTTACAGACATTTCATTCCTTGGCGCAAGGAAGCAGCTGTCGAGTACGATCGGAATGGACCAGGACAGACGTCATTGGGAATCATGGTAGAGATGATTTTTATTGTGGAACAAAGATGGCGCCGGTATGAGTAACGGGTAGGACTTGCACGCGAGGCATTCAAGGTTCGAGAATCGTGTGAACGCCAAGAGAAAGTCATGCTCGTGAAGAGGGAAGTGAAGTGAAGAGAATTGAAGACTGAAGTGAAGCCAAGAACGTGGCGCAACGATGAGACCCGATACTACCGAGCTATTCCCTATAGTCGCGGCCGAAAGATGGTTCGACGATTTTTCACGCCATAGATTCCTGTTAACATTGCTACGCCTATGGATTGCTCACCCCCGTTACGCCACTGGACATACCATATAGTTTTCGAAAAAGCAAAAAAAAAATGTATCGACAAATTATCGAAAACAGTTCCTCACGCGTCTTGGACATCTTCAGAATATTGATAACTGAGAATAATTTTCAAAATTTAAATTTTTCATTTTTATCCAAATACCTCGTTTGGCGATCACGTAAATATTAAAAAAAAAAATATATTCATACACCCAAAAGGTAGGACGATATTAAAGCCGTAGGCGAATCGGGATCGTGTTAAAAAAAAATCTTTTTTTCAGATAATAGACCTCGTCTCATATAGAGTATCTTATTATTTTCTTTAAAAAAAAAATAATAATTTGCTTCCAACGAAAAAAAATTTCACGTCAGTGACTGCAAACCTGTTTCAGTGCTTAGCATCGACGAAATGCTCCTCAATGCCTACAGCATACCGAGCCGGGTTCAAGTAACGTCAATAACCGCTGCATCACTTCCCAGTTCGCTTCCCGGTAAGCAAAGTGATGCCGAGATTAAATAGTAGCCGTTTGTAGCCTACAACGTTCGTGCAGGCTAAAGTCACGGCGTAGTAGTGTCACACTCGGTGAGCTGCTCGCCGGAGCAAGAGATGTCGCAATGGCTGCACCGTTGCCTGCATCCTCTTTGTAGCGTTCGCGTGAACGCGAGCGTGAGTACCTGGGACCGCCCCCTCCACCCCCTTTCCAGAATGATCGCCCCATGTCCCCTTCAGAGCCCCGGGCCCTTATGCGAAGGGCCTTTCACACGATCGGACTTATAAGAAAAAAAAGTTCGAGGATACGATAGTCGATCGTGCATGGCAACCGAAGAGTCCGGAACGTTCTGCGATTATTTAAAATCGAGATATTTTTTTTTCAGACTTCATTATCGCGAGTGGATCGATGTTTTGTGAAACATTCAAAAGTTATATTTCGTAGGGAAAAAATTCAGATCGGATAACTGTATCGTGGAGGGAGCTATGTAAGTTTGAAAATTCGATGTGGTACGTTTGTAGGCAAGATGGCGGAAGAGACTTTAAAAAAATTTTTTATTTTTTATCTTTAAAGAACTCTACACATTTTATATCAAACGAAGGAAGTATTTTAGGACCTAATTTTTTGAGCCTTCTAAACCGCAATGGAGGACTATTTCTCGTGCGGTGTCGTCTGATTTTTTTACGTAGACGAATGACGCAAATATCGAGTGACGTCATATATTTTCACACTTACAACCGATTTTCACAATATTTTCTGTTTTTTTTTTTCGAGTTTCTCACATCTCATTTTAGTTTCCGGTTTGGTACTTGGCGCCAACCGCATCGGATGGGTCACTCCATCCTTTCACTGAATTTCAAGAACATGCGGGGTTTCCAATGTGAACCAGCTGGATTACTTCTGGATAAAGTAACGTGTAACGTTATCCATGATATTCGGTGCGGAAACATTTAAGGAATTAACAGGCCCTCTCTCCCTGCCTTCGGTTTCGAAGAAACTGCGCCGTTCCACCTCTGCTTTTTTTTTTTTTTTTTTAAAGAAATCACCGTCACATGTATAACCATACAGTACCGTTCTAGAATGTCACTTAATGACCATCTTAAATGCTGTCTAGAAAAATTCTACTAATATAAATATATATATATATACATTTTTTTTAAATTATCCCTCTCGTGCGCGAATCACGTCCGATAATTAAAAAGTACCAGTAAAGTGGTACGTGGCACCACAAGTGGCACGTACCTCGAATGACCAAAAAAATTGCCGAAAAAAATTACAAAACTAAATTCCCATTATCAATAAATATTTGTCCGCTCTTTGTGATAGTGTTTAAACCAAATATCTTCGACCTTATCATTTTTTTTGTTTCGTGTCACACGATACTCTGTTTCTCAACATGAAGCCTCTCTATCTCCTCAATCCGTATTTTCTGCCGAGAGACGAAGATGCTACGAGGCGTAACGATAGTTGCAACACTGAACCGACTCCACGTGCAGCCGCCAGGAGTGATGCAACGCGTCCGCCTCTCAGGTGCATTTTGTAACGTCCAGGAAGTAGAAAGGAATCATCAAAGGCGCCATCGATTGCTAGACTTTACGTAATTAAAGTCCCGTTCACAACGGCTTCAACGTACAAGTCAAGCACGATATAGAAAAATAATAAAATATAGCCAACAGCATACGAAATATTCACGGATCAGACATACAACTGAACAGGCACTAAATGTCTCATGTACCTAAGTTAAAAGTTAGGGTAACCAAAGAAAAGTCAAAATTTGCTTACAACTAAAAAAGAAAATTGGATTAGCACGACTGGGTACGACGTTATCGAGAAAAGCCACTGGTGACGCCGATGCGGGGACTTGGAGGGAAAAAAAAGTGACACCCGTTATCCAGTTCTGATACAATAAGATACATAGTAGATACCCAGTAAGGCTGCTACCGGCTCTTGGGAAGAAGGCACGTTCGAGTATCTTTTTTCTTTAACTCTTCTACTCTCTTTCTTGCACCGCCTTGCACAAACCAACGAAACAAGAGAGTTTCGTGCACGTATGCTTCTTTTTTTCGAAACGTTGAACGACCCGATACACCGTTAGGCGAAGTTAAACTTTTTTTTTCTCATTTACCTTATCAAAGAGCGCTGCCGTACTTTTCCACGAGTTTCAGTCGCAAATTGCACATGCATTATCAGTCGTCGATTTCTGGTTAACGCATGCAAGAGTCACGACGTAATGTTTAAATTGACTTTGGTATCTCAAGATAAGAAAACCACAGACATTTAAGATGACACGTGCGGTACAGTCTGTTTTGAAAATTTTTCAATCCTGTCTTTGTCGGTTCATCGATCAAAGGACCTCAAAGTTATCTTGATTTTCGAACCCCTCAACAGTGACGAATCAAAATCGACCGTACCAGTGTCAATTTCCATTGTTGCGTCTGACAATTGAAAAATGGCTTGATGCGTATATAAAAAAATTTTGAATTTCCCGCCGCGCATCGTAAAAGTCACGGCTGACCAATGAGAAGCCGGTTTATTACCAGAGCGCGAAGTTACCCGCAGCTGTGACGTAACTGAAGCCAAATGCGGCTAATACGTCATTCGCCAATTCCATTACAGCACACGCAACACTAAGAACTGACATCGCTTAGCGCGGTACATTCCGCGACAAAATTATGAATAAATTTAAACAAAAATATTTATTTATCCGCATCGTATATTTATCATATATAACTATGATACTGTACTACGTGGTAGGATCCCCGCCGAAGCTAACGCCTCGCGTCACGCGAAGATAACGAAAAGTTGAATCCTCGCAGGTTTCGGTAAAAATGGCAAAAATAATCGACAATCAACATTGCATATTATGGCATTGAGTCGAAGCGCGCGTGCGTTTTATCAGGTTCAACGAACTCGTGAGTCACCGAAAACACGTAAGGAACGCGTACATGCGCCAATGCTCCATTCGGCTACCAGCTAACCACGAATACACTGCAGATACAGCATTGCCGCTTTACATCTTATTCACGAACACATTAAAGTTTTCGTACACGCTTTTCGAGTTTTGACCTTGACCGGCCGCCCCGCCATCTAGCGGAGACGCCAATAATTACGGCCAAATGTGCAAGCAGCTGCCACATAAAGGCGGAATCGTCAATTCCATCGACTGTCGATGACAAGGTAGGGAGAGAGGAAGAAAGGGGGGATATTCCAGGGGGGGGAGGGATGGGACGCTCGACCTCCCTGACCGTAACACCAAAGGTTATCGAAATTCGTAAAATAAAGACGAATTCGTAAGATTTCAGTTTGATTGGTATTAAATTTTCCGGTCGAGCGATATCTACGCTGGAACGGTTCAAAAAGAAGTGAGGGGGGCAGGGGGGGGTTATTGACTCGTTCGTTAATAATTAATAAGGATTTTTTTTTGTCGCCCGAAAACGCGTCATGCCATTCGGGTATGAAATTTTCGATGAACGCGGTCAAAAGAAAAATACGGTTGTTAAAAATAATGCGGGTCTTTTGTGATATACTTCATTTGAATGGCCGGTTTAATGTTGTAATGAAAAGAAAAATTAATATTTTTTTTTCAAAATTTACGAAGGATTTTTCAAACTTACCGTCGGGCGTGGACACGGTACCGGCCTTGTTTATTTTCGTATTCCACATGGCGGGTGTAGTTGGCGCTGGACTGAGATCAGGGGTGGGTGGATGAGCAGGAGGCATGGGGCCCCCCATAGAGGGCCCCAATTGGGCGCCATGGTGTACGTGGTCCGCGGGTGGCCCGTAGGTACCAGCCTCTACGCCTCTACCGGTGTAGATCTCGCCGGATAACCTTTCGGCCAACCTTTCTGTCCTTTCGCGATCCGTCAGCGCCACTGGTTCCTGCTTTATTCGCAAATCTGTCGAAAGTGCCAAGAGAGAAATTTGCGTGAGATTCGCGCGACGAAAAGACATTTGTAAATCGTGACGAATACCTCGGTGGGGATTAAGGGAGTAGGAGGGGAAAAAAGGAGGGTAGAAAACGGAAATTAACGATTGAACAGTGAATTATTAAAATATTCATAATCCAAAAAGGAAAAAAAAACAGGGATGAAACGCATTTCACCCCTATACAATGGTTGTCCCGCGCTTATCTACCCGGTGGTAATTTATTTCACTATTTTTTAATTGAATCATATAACCCCCGTGGTCATACAAAACTTTTTGTCGATGAAATTTTTTTTTTTTTTTTTCAAAAATCAATGTCTAACAGTCAAATGAAAATTTTCCCCCAAAATATATTTTTTCAGCCGTTACACGTCTTTTCCGTTAATTTCATAAGTAAACAAAATTCGCACAAATTAGACACCCGGTACATTCTTTAGACACTTTTCTGCATTAAAAGATCGCGACGCGTTCACGGTCGCGTATTAAAAGATTCGCAACTGGCGACGACGGCTGCTTGTAATTAAAATTAAAAAAAAAAATTATAGAAGCAGGACGACAAAGGACGAAAATCGTCGGAATAATAATGAGGAACCGTGGCTGGATAAAAGAAAATGTAGGATAGGTCCTTTCTCTCTCTCCCTCTCTCCCTCTCTCTCTCTCTCTCTCTCTCTCTCTCTCTCTCTCTCTCTCTCTCCTTACCTTCTGCACCGCTGTCCTTGTGTTCTCCATTACCGCGTTCCTCGGAACGATCCCGACCTTCTGCACCGCTGTCCTTGTGTTCTCCATTACCGCGTTCCTCGGAACGATCCCGTTCCAATTCCCGTTCGAGTTCCGTGGGCGTGTGGGGCGCCGTATGGGGGTGGGTCGGCGTCTCCGAAGGATGAGGAAACGGCTGATACACAGGACTCTCGAGAAGAAGTGGATGGGGAGCAGATGCGGGCCGGAACGTACCGCCGTCCCGTAAAACGCTCGCCCTGCCGAGGGCGTCCACGTCGCTCGGCGACCTGCCATGCACACGCGTCCTTTCAAGTCATCCTTTAATTAACACCGACACAAAACCACCCCACGAGCGCACAAGCACAAGCAGATACGACACGGCAACCAAAAAGTCCCTAGGAGAAAGTTCGATAGCGACCCGAAGATAATCCATAGGGAATTGAGTTTGGAAACGAAAAAAAAAAAAAAAACCAAGATAAAAAATCAAGGAGACACGGACGAATCCCCGAATACAAGAAAGAGAGAGGGACAATAAATAACGCGAAGTGAAAAAAACAAAAAGTCCCTAGATTCACTAGAGATAAAATGAAAACAGCTACGAAACAGTTGCACCGCTAGTTACGTCCTCTGGGGACCCTAGATCGGGATCCCTTACGTTTTTTCTGTCGATACCTTCGACACCTAAAAAATTTACGAACTGTTGGCACCCCTGGCAAAATAATACGTCCGGCAAAGGTTAAGCTGATTCAGAAACAAGAGGTTTCCCATCAGGGAATGTATTCGTCATTATTTTTCTCATTGACCGACAGAGAATGCACGTGGGGGTAAAGTGGACGACGGTTGGTACCACTGTAAAGCTCAATAAAATCTAGGCAATAAATGACTCACCTTATTACCCTCTTTCGTGGGCTCTCGTAATAGTGAGACGTAGAGTAAGCGTTGGGTACAGTATAGGTAGACGCCGGCGAAGGCGCTGGCGTCGGAGACCTCTTGACGACGCTACCGCCGACGTTTCCGGCTCCGGTGATCTCGCCGGTTCCACTTCCGCCGCCACCGCCGCCACCGTCGCTACCTCCACCGCCCCCACCACCTCCGCCGTCCGACGACGAATTATTTGTTTCCGCAGCGTGCCTCTGCGCCACCGCCAATTTCTCGTGCTCTATTGAGAGGCCCTTCACCTGCGGACGGAACGAAGAAATTTTATTTTTTTTTTTTTTTTTCATTATTCCTCCATACGGAAACTTTCTCTGTTCCGTATGTATTATCTGATTGCGTTATCGCAGAAGAGACTGGCCAATTCGCCGCAACGGCAGAGCTATACCGAAATGGGTTGTACGTACTTGCAGGCATTCGGCAGCCTTGAGAAAGGAGCTAAGAGACTCCTGGGACACGTGGACTTCGCCACGATACATGAACTCGAGTAGAGCTGCCATATTGTGGGCACTCGTACCATCCAGAATGACTATCAATCCTGCGGGAGATGGTGGCATACCCTCGAACAGTTCCTGAAAGTGCTTGCTGCATGCTGCGAGGATCAATCTGTGCGCCTTGAACGTGACTCCTGTAATTAGATGAAAAACAAAATTTTTTAATTCGACCATTTTTATTTTCAATTTGTAATATTTTTTTTTCTTTTTTTACTCAAAATTAACCCTTTCAATTTCACTATTACTAAGTGCATCTTGCGCTCCAGTCGGCTCGAGCAACACCTTTTGGAATCGATTACCCTAATTAGCACAATTAAAAAAAAAAAAAAGGATGTACTTTTGCTCCTCCCGAAATTACAAAACAGATGCGCCTCGTGAACGATAAGATCCGATGGCTAACCAACCCACGTATATGTGTGTATCTCGATGAAGCCGGTCGTGCCCAAAGGGTTACCGGTCTCTGTTCCTAATTAAAAGCAAACACCTAATTAACATACCGCGCGCATTCGTATTCCGATAACGTGAACGCAGCACCTCGCGGTACTTAAAAACGTTTCGGTTATCATTGTACAAACCCAGACTCAAATGACTTCCGGTTCCTAGCCATCTTCCCGTATACGAAAGATCGTAGAGAATTTCGAAAGCGGAGATGATGAAAATAACCATATACCCAAAGACAGGTATACGTAATGAATTAGGAGTTACTTTTGAAAAATCGAAAAAAAAAAATTTTTCAAAAATTTAAAAAATCCACACAAATATTTTACACTGTAATCACCGTATGTTTGGGCACTGAAAAAAAAAACTAAAATCAAAAAAAAAATATTTTGATTTTGATGACTCAAAAATCCAATCACGGAATCATCATCGCAATCTTCTTACCATTGCGGTACATGTAAAGGAGCGTTCACAGTGCCTCGAAGATCCATTCTGCCTATTGACCTACCCCGGCTGGAGAATCGCGTGGGATTTTTCATGCGACAAGTAAACCGTCGACGAACCCTTTTTTTTTGCTCTCCTCCATACCTCCTCTTCGTAGAATGGCGGCATAAAGGCCGGCTGCCATCGGGCGACGGCAATGCCCTTTTCTTGCAGCCCGTTGGATATCTAGGCCATCTTCCGACACGATCTCATTATTTATGCCCCATGTATATATATATATATATATATATATATGTATATATAGGTAGCTAAGTACTATGACTGGAGTATACGTGTAAATGCTATCCTATCCGACATACGGTAAGGCGATATATCGCAGCGACTTGATATATGCATAGATATACGCATATGTGGATGCGGCTTTATGTTCATTAATTCATATATCCTGGACACCCTTACTATACTATTATGACCCAAGCCCCCTGATGCACAAAAACAGAATCGCGGTCGCCGTTCATGAAAACTACGTAAAGACGCTATACCCCTCCCCCCCCCATCCTCTTCATCCGTAGCTCTGATAGCGTGTGAAGAGGAAGTAGTCTTAGGTAGCCTGTACCTTGGTACCTATCCTGACTACCCATGTCACACAACAGAAGGTCCGGGAACCAAATACCATCTGGTCATGGAAACGCACCTGCCTATTGCGATGCTTGGACCCGAGTACGAAATGTATCAAGTTCCATGGGAAGTTTTACTATTGTTATCTGAATCAGCGGTACAGTGGGTACGTGATAACATCGTGAGATAATAAGAAGTAGGTGGGTGAGAGTAAAAATACGTATATCGTAAACTATATTTGGGTTCGATGTTGATAATCGAAGAATCATGTTTTAAGGGACGCTACGGTACTATTGGGGATTGATATTGATGAAACGTTTGGCATATTTGATTAAGATAAAAAAAAAAACTTTGGGGTAATAATTTATTTTAAAATTTTTATATCGTTGGAATTCGCTGTTATTTCAATTTGATTCGTCCATCCCTAATGGGTCAGCAAGATCTCACGGGGATGAACCGGTCCCGTGAAAGGGGATAATTCCGGAATCCCTCAGTTGGCTCACATTCCTGATCGTCGTGACGCGGGGCGAAGCGAAGTCAGGCGACGTCAGCCTCGAAGCAAAATCAGGAGGACAGTGCAGAAGGAGGTGAACGCGGAGCCCCGCGCATTAAAAAAAAATTTTGCAAAAAAAGTCAAACGTCACTCGCAATTTCCTTGGATTACTGACTTGCACAGGCAACTGAGCAAAATTTCGCGATGACTTCATAGTACTGGGAACCAATGTTTTTCTTTTTTCCGTCGCATATCCAAAAATTATTATCATTTCACCGCGATACTGGATCGTCACCAAGAAAAAAAAAATTGCGAATAATAAAGATTTATGTGGAAAAGAAAGAAAATACATGAAAAAAAAAAAGTTTGCAAAAATTTCACGTAAATCGTCGAAACGTGAATCAGCCAATGGCCGTGCTGCTAGGATGTCTGCCAAAATTTTTCGAAGCTCGCCCCAAAAAATCGGGACGCCCAAAAATTCTGCAAGCGAAATATTCGCGTCACCGAGAACCGAGCCCAGATATACATAGAATTAAACGGGAACGTGTCCATATCGCTGCGTCGCGACGCCGTTGCCTCGCGTGTGCAGAGGGGGCCAATGACCGTGTGCCCGAGTGTGTGCGTGCGCTGCGTGTATTTACGCATGTCACGCGTAGGCGTGAACGCGTATGCGAATTCGCAGCAGATGCCAACAAGGCAAGACGAAGAAGGAGAAGCAACGAATATCCTAACGTCGTTCTATCTCTGTCAAAATTAATTACCCCCCCACCCCTCCCAAAAATAAAGTTACAAACAAAAAATACCAAAAAAGTGGCCAAATCGAAAAAAAAAATTTTCAAAAATCAAACACCCGTTACAACGAACGAAAAAATAATTGTCGCACGCGACGTACCAAATTTATGTATTTCGACCAGAATACCCCCTCCTTCCCAAAGTAAATACGACGCCGGGCGTCGTTTCCATTTCTATAAATCGCTATTTACATAAATAAGTATACATATATATAATTATAATAATATACATAACATAAATATATATAATATAAATATATATTATTTCTATAAATAAGTAGTAAAATCGCACGACTGCCGTGTTAAGATTCTCAAATCCGTCGCCTAAAACGGATGCATCGACACGTGATACTTCCGGTACCGGATAGACAAAGTCGAGGCTCCATAAGTTTATCAAAGATCCAATGATCATCGATTGGCATCGAATTTTTTTTTCAAAATTTCACATAACCTCTCAAGGGCCAATACCAGCGTCGAGCTCGATGTATCTGTTACGCATCCGATAACTCCAACGAAGCTACCGTCGAGCTGCTCTACTATTCGCGAGCTAAAGCCAGAAAATCGTATAAATGCGTTACGGCATAACAAACGTTCACTCGTATAAGCCAAACGCCACGAGAAGTCTCGTGCCGGGAGTAACGATATGACACACGTCGCGTTGCCACCTTTTATTTTTACAATTCTTATTTTACGATTCCTCAGTATCATTAATAAGATTCTTACTGGGTCCTAATGAATGAACAACCTCCACTCCGCTACACGTCGGCATCTAAAGTGTATATATATATTCATAATAAAAAAAAAAAGAACTAGTATTAAATTATTTCATCGTTCTAACGATAACATCGTTAAAAAAAAAAGCCCCCCCGCAGTATCGTAGGAATCCCAGCGTCATTGCGAATTAATATCGAAAAAAAATTTTTTTTAATACTTATCGATCAATCGCTAGATCCGCGCTATCTTCCCTCGTATACATAATATCCACACGTGTCCAAGTCGCAGATAATATTCTGTTTTCTATACCTATCGAACACCGTCATCAGATTTCGAGAGGATAACGACCATCGGTCCCGCCCACAGAAAATTGTGCGAAAAAAATAGAAAAGGAAAAAAAATCTAACGCCAACGATCATAACCTGTACGAATGGTTAAAAATATTTCGTAAAATGACTTGGCATACCATATAAGTTTGTCAGGCTTACCTGACTTCTTTTATCGGCGTATATATATATATGTAATAGGGTAGGTGGCTTATATACGTATAGCTGAGAGAACGATGTTCTCCGTGGTTTCTTCCGTCTCACGAGCACGGCCGCGAATTTGCAAATAAAACGCGTCCGCTTACGCAACGGAGCACTGCACTCTTCGTGAGCATCTATTCATATCTCAAGGCCGAGCCAGTAGGGCGCTACAAGCCGTTTCAAGTCTTGAATGCTTAAGGCGGCCGTCGTTTTTTCCTACGTTGCGTAACCCTCCTAGTCACATGCAAATATTCCTGCAATCGTAACAGCCGCACATAGGCGCGCGTCTTTTTAGGCGTTCGTAAATATGCGTGATACGGGACGTGTTACTGGCGACGGTTTTTTTACTTCGCAGAGGCCCGTGCATTCGCGGCAAGCAAAATTGACTGCCAGGTAAATGACACTAGGTGGTGTAAATAGGTAAAAGTAATTTTTTGGATATTTCGATAGTTTTACGCAAAGTGTAAAAAGAGTGTAGATTTTTTTATTTTACGCACTTTGTGAAATTTTTCGACTGCGAGTAATTTTTTTTTTAGATAAAAAAAAAAATATGAAAATTTTGAAAAAATGTTTAAGTCGGACGTTATGTTTTTTGGGAGCTAGTATGTGCATGCGATTACACGCGTGGTTGTGTGTATGTACATACGTGGTAACGTGCGGGCGTGCAGCCTGCGTGCCAAAAAACAAACACGAATGTTGAACGATCGCTAAAAGCGTTCGGCAAACTATTTTTAGCGAACGAAAAACGCGAAGTTTCCTTCCAATGGGAAAAAACGAAGACGCGCAGAGTCGCTGAGTTTCGAATGCCGTGGGGTTTTTTTTTTTTTTTGGAGAAAATTATATGCTAAGATTATCCTTGTTGGGCGTCGATTGTGAGTTTGAATGGTTGAAAAGATATTTTGGAAAAAAAAAATTGTAATAATAATATTCAGAAGGATTGTGGTTACCAAGGCCGAGGATTCGTTGCGAACGAGGGACAATAGTCAAATGCGAATTTAATTGGAGAAAAAGGCAGGTCAGGGTAGATGAGGAAATCGATTAAAATAGCGAGTTAGTCGAGATCGAATATATAGAAAAAAATCTGCATTCGTCTCTTTTATCTCGTCGAT